AAAATACTGTTTTTCCAAAAGGAGTATTCTGAATCTGGGAAAAGTAAAATTCCTCCAGATTATATATTCATTAATAACATGACTCCTTAGTGGAAAGGGGATGCAAGAATTTCAGTTACAATGAAATTTGCAGAAGATGCTATAACAAATAATCATAATAAGTTGGGAAGTTAAGTATTTAAGGCACAGGTGGAACCTGTGCTCCTATTTTCTATACCGTTTCCTATTGAGACCTTATTTTATTTTAGGATTTTCTGTCCTTATGAATTTCATACGCAGGACATAGTGGAAGTAACTCTGTAATGCTGTTAACCATTTAGCACGCAGGCATCCATAGTTGTCAGTAAGGATACAGTGTATAGCCACTGGTGTTGCTTATCTTTGAACTAAGGTTTTTTGTGAAAGAGAGAGGATGGCTCTGTGTGATTCCATCTCATAACATGTTTATTTCTGTGGGTGGTTCTGTCATTGTAGCCCTGTTATAGGTGCACATTTGACTATGTTTGACTATATCTGAGGCAGACTGTCTCTATAGAGAGTCTGAGATAATAGCTATCCTCCTTTATTTCTTTAGAAATCTGTTGTACATGCTGTGTTTGTGCAAATGTCATCAGTTAAGTGCCTTTTAACTTACATTGCATTTTTCTGTCTGATACATTCATTGTTCTGTTTGGCTTTCAGTTACCTAGCGTGTTACATATGTGCCTTGGGGATTTGTTTGGTGACAGAAAGAAACTTGAAAAAAATAACACATCTTTCTAACATTTGTCTCTAATGTTTACAGTAATATGGCATGGATGGAGAACAACAAATTCAGTGCTTTGAAATGGCCAAGTCAAATTCCAGACCTAAGTCCCATAGAAATTTGTTGTAGGACTGAAACAAGCAGTTTATATTAGAAAACCATCAAATGTTACTGAGCTGAAACAGTTTACTATAGAAAAATAGGGAAAAATTCTACCAGCAATGTGAAAGATGGATCATCAATTATAGGAAGTGTTTGATTGCAGTCACTGCAGATAAAGGTGGTACAGTCTTTTAGTGAATCTAAGGGAGTGATTACTTTTTCACACTGGCATATCACATGTTGGAAGACTTTGTCACTGTGGTATTATTTGTTCACTGAGACTTCCTTTATCAGCAGGATTCACATGAAGCTCTGATAATATTCAGTGGTAAAGATATGCAAGAATTCAGAACAAGCAAAAGGGAACAAATAGTTTTTCACAGAAGTGTAAAAGAAACGCATTAAATCAGGACAACAGTGTGAATATTAGACTTGGCTTCATGTGCACAGCAGAGTGAAGTCTAGTACAAATCTTGATTAATAAAATCCACAGGATTCAGTGATTACAGAGAGAAAAATCATATTACATATTTGGTATTGGATTCAAAACCAAATGGTATATTGATTGGAGAGATTTCTGTACTTTGCACAGTTCCAATTCCTTTTCTATCTTTCTGTTCTTCTAGCCTCCTGTTCCTGCAATTTTCATATCTGTTTCCATTTTACCCATTACTAGTCTTGTCCCTTTCAGTTTTCTTATTCTGATCCTAGTATTTTCAGGAGATAAAAGTAAAAGTATCTTCAAGTCAAGCTTGACTCTGAACTTACATGGATATACCCATACACTTTTAATGGTGTGATACAGAAGTGGTTTGCATTGTCTTTTTCTGGGATATATTTTCAACTTCCCAGTCTGATCTATATTTGTAGCCTTTACACATAGTTCCCTCTCTACTACTGTATTACAGATAGTCCTTGGTTAACAACAGTAATTGGGACTGGAATTTCCATCACTAACCGATGTGGTTGTAAAGCACAATATCATGTGACTTCATCACTTAGTGATGGCAATCCCAACAGTCCCCATTGCTGTCATTAACTGAATCCCACCAGTTGTTAGGTGAAGACTCACCCCAATTCAAGCCATTCCTGGCCTGGTCCTCCCAGCACTGAGCCTCGATAAGGTAAGGGACTGCCTCCTCTTGAACTCCTCTACCTGCCTATCTTCCTCCCATATCTGCCCTTTTGGCCACTTGCCTACCCACTGCCTCCAGCTGCCCCCAGCGCTACCCGGCAATGCCACCTCACACCACTACAGTACCGCCTGGGGCCTTTCATGCTGCAGGCTTCTCTCATGCCCCACCCAGGACCTTTTTTCGCGAAAGAAGCCCAGCGCATGAAAGAAGGTCTTGACCACACTGGCGCAAAAGAAGGACCTGGCTAGCGCAGGTGGGGCCTTCTTTCACATGCTGGGTTTCATTTACCAAAGAAGGCTCTGGGCAGGGCACAAACAGAGGCCCTGGCTGGTGCACAAACGGAGACCCTAGGTGGGGTGGGAGAGAAGCCCTGGCTGCACCAGCATGCCCTGGCCAGTACAGTAATGGCATGCAGTGCGGTGGTATGGCAGCAGGCAGGGCCAGGCGGTGGGGGCAGCTGACGGCAGTGGTTAGGTGGACAGCCAAAAGGTGGTTGTAAATGGAAGTGGGCCCAAATTTTGTTCATGTGACTGTGGAGGTGCTATAATAGCTGGAACTTTGAGGATTGGTCATAAGTCTGTTCAGCAAACGGTTGCTGCACAAATGGATATTAAGCGAGGACTATCTGTAATGCATGGCTTTTAGATCAGCCAAGGTTCCAGAACCTTTCAGTACATGCATGGTATTAATTAGATTGGTAACAAGATCCATTGCAGAGCTTAAAACAATTTCTGTTGCACAGTTTCGTGTTCCTTGCGGTATTCTTTTCCTTTTACATTCATTTTCCTCCTGCTTCGCCTTTTTAAAAAATCTTCTCTCGTGTTAATTCTTGAAAGCCATCATCCATTTGAAAATTTTATTGTTTTTTGTTTAAAGGGTTTCTCTAACTGCATTATGTTTTTATTTTTGTTCACCTAGAGTTCCTTTTGGTAGATGGGTGGCCATAAAATTTTATTTAATAAATAAATAATTATACCCTAATGCTTAAGGATTTCAAGCAACATAATTATTAATTCAATTTTCTATTGACCTGAAATGTTTCATTTATTAGAGTTATCTAGTGTTTGGAATAAATTGGTAGATTTGGATCTATAGATCCAGTAGGACCCTATAAAGCATTTGAACAAGATACTTTGCAAAGCAGGTAACTGGTGGGATAATTTTGAAGCAGGCACAGGAGGCTTGCAAAAGCTGTGGCTGCTTTAACACTTCAAAGAGAAGTCCTTTTTCATGGTAACACACTTGAGGAAGTATGTCTTTAAAAGCTTTGCCTAGTTTTAATGTCCAGTGCTTTGATATCATTTTTCTGGGATGTGTATCTGTATATAGTGTGCGTAGAGAATCTGAATGATAAATAAAATAAATTAACTCATTATTTTAAAAATCAAACCAAATCAAAAATTTAGTTACGGTCCAAGACCAAACACATTTTTAAAATGTAATGTCCTGTAATTTATTCATTAATGCTTATATATTTCTTGTGAATTGGGTAAAGCTTATTTCTGTTTCATTACAAATCTGATGTATAAAATTTATGTCTGGATCACACTCAAAATCATTATGCTAGTTGCTATTTGGTGGTTATATATTTATAGAAAATTGGGATGAAATCATTATCCAGATATTACAATGCTTTGTGTGTGTACCTAGCACTATGTACGAGTATTAAGGACGCAGCTGAGAACTGAACTGTCCCTTATATTTTTCTGTACATTCTAATGATTATTTTCAGTTTGCTCCTTATTGGGAATTTCTCTCATTTAATATTTGCATTTTCATCAGTTTTATTTTGTGCCTTATCTAGACATGACATAAGTAGCTTTTTCTGTGATAACTTCTCAGGAAGTATTTAAACATTTTGGCTTGCAAGCATTAATTTGCATTTGTATGTGTATTCAAAGACATATTCTTAAGGCAAATTTGGAATGTAGCTCAGAGATGATAGCTAGTTCTTATTTGCCATCTGTAAAGATATATTAAGAGCCTTTTACTAAGATCTTAGCTAAATGTTGTATTTGCCAATAAGCTTTCCCTATGGAGAATCTGAAGGCTTTCCACCAACAGGCAGAAAAAATTAGGGAGGGAACACGCTTACTTTCTAGGTGAAGTTACTGGCTATTGCTCACCACTATTGTCTTAAGAGTTGATTTAAGAAGAAGAGGAGCAATGAAAAGTACTCTAGTTCATCCCCCCACTATTGATATTTTCAGCATTGCAGGTTCTCAGTGTCCAGAATGGGCATACATAATGGCTCAGCAGTCAAGTAATATCTGCAATGGATGACCAGTTTCTCTGTTTCCTGCTTTATACTTTACATTTGAAGTATTGGAAAGCCCCATAAGAATATTAATATTTTAAACATGATGTGTGTGTATGCATAGGCACCCTTCCACACATGTGTACAATTTGGCCATCCTTTAAATATTACAGTATAGAATATATACTTTTTCTCACTCCATGGTTAGTCTTTATTGACAAAAAAAATGAACTCTCTGTTTTGCTTCTGCTGCTTTGACCTAATTTGTGTATTCTTCCCTCTTCCTTATAAACAGGAATATTATAAAAGAAGTCCTTGGAATTTATACTTCACTAAAAACTGAATTATGTCATATGCCTATTTATTAAATTTTATCACTTATTCAATATAAGATTACTTATATACTTACATATACTTATAAGATCAATTTTTTAAAGTTAAAACTAAGGTTTATATCACACAGTTAACCAGAGAACATATTAGAGAGCCTTGGATCATTAGATCCAGAACAACTGTCAAATGTAATTGGGGAACTGTAGAAACTCCTGTATCTTGCTCTAATATTGAAAATACTAGAGAACTGATATAGTGAAGATGAAAGTGTGTGCTGCACAGGTGTGATGATACTTGTGACAAATTTTGCTGTTAGTCTTATCAGGTAAAACATACAGCAGTGGTATTACACAGACTTTCTAACTGTTGAAAAACAATATTTGAAATTTCTTTTGAGTTTTTATAATCTCCTTTTTTTTCCTCTTAGGAAATCTGCTACAAGATCCAATTGCACCTACCAACTCTACATGTCAACATTATGTCTGCAAAACCTGTAAAGGCAAAAAGATGATGATGAAACCATCATGTAGTTGGTGCAAAGACTATGAGCAATTTGAAGAAAATAAACAGTTAAGCATTCTGGTGAACTGTTATAAAAAACTATGTGAGTACATAACACAAACACCACTAGGACGAGATATTAAGCAAGCTGTTGACAGTTCCCCAGATCTTTTGACTTTGCTTAAAGATGGCACCCCACTCAGTGTTGACACAGAAAAAGCATCTGATGAAGCCTTGGCATTGTGTTTGATCCATTCCCCATCACCTTCAACTTCAGAGTATGCTAATGAGCCTCCAACAAGTTGTTCCATACCTGAAAGCACATATGACTGTGATATAAAAGGCTCCACTGTTAATGGTCTGCCCAGTTGTAATGGGCTCTCAGTAGATAAACTTGGAGTAAATATTCCATCCCCTGAACATGCAAATACAGTCAGTGTATGTAATCCTGGACAGTACATAAAAACTGAAGATATTTCTAGCAGTCTTCAGCCTATGTGTGACATAGTTTCCCCTGGTGACTTGTGTGCAACCGGCATTGATATTCACAGTTTCAATGAAGATATCAAACCTGGTGATCCTCTTTTACTTAGTGTTGAGGAAGTGTTACGGAGTTTGGACTCTAATGCAGGAGTATGTAGCCCTAATCTGCAGCACAGCCTGGAAACCAATTTAACAAATGGCCCGTTTTTGCAGCTTTCTCCCCAACCGACTAGCCACAATGTGTATATATCAGTGGATGCTTCACCTCATGGGATTTCATGTACAGCTGCAACACCTAAGGTAGCAAAATTAAACAGAAAGCGATCACGATCAGAAAGTGACAGTGAAAAGCTTCAGCATATTCCAATTTCTAGCATTCTTTGTGGCCCAACATTGGGAGCCTCAGCTCCAGTAATGATGAAACAGGAATCAAAGATGTCTTTGCAGTCAATAGCAACTGTACCTAATGGAGGTACTGCTCCTAAAATAGGTAAAACTGTACTATTATCAAATAAAAGCATGAAAAAAAATCTAGACCATACCACCAAGAAATCTCATCCAAAATCTAAATCAGGAATGCTAAAAAAGTCAAAAGAGAAAAATCCTAGCAGTCATGTTATGCCAGGAAGTCCAACAAAAACTGTGTACAAAAAGGCACAAGAGAAGAAGGGGTGCAAATGTGGCCGAGCTACACAAAATCCAAGTGTTCTTACATGTCGTGGTCAGCGCTGCCCTTGCTACTCAAATCGCAAAGCTTGTTTAGACTGCATATGCCGCGGCTGCCAAAATTCATATATGGCTAATGGGGAAAAGAAACTGGAGGCATTTGCAGTGCCAGAAAAGGCCTTGGAGCAGACTAGGCTTACTTTGGGCATTAATGTGACCAGCATTGCTGTGCGCAATGCCAGCACAAGTACCAGTGTAATTAATATGACAGGGTCACCAGTAACGACATTTTTAGCTGCCAGTACAAATGATGATAAGAACTTGGATGAAGCTATGGACATGAGATATGACTGCTGAGTCATTCTTTCTTTCTCCCCTCCTTTGGTAAGGGGACTGCTACAATTTTGAAGGCAGCTATGGTTCTGTTTAACTTGCCGGAGCTCCTGCATATAGATCACTTGTATCAAGTGTTTTCATTGCTATGTTGTGTGTTAGTGTCAGGGAAATAGTTTGCTGGTAATTGCGGAATTATCCCAAAACTCTCTTTAGTTCTTACAACACCTCATAGTTTGAGATCAAATGCTAATGTAAATGATTTTTTAATACACAACTACTTTTTTGGCATATACTGACCTTGTTGTACCAATTCATGCTTTGTGCTTAATCAGAAATTGATTTAATATACTGAAATTATTTCTAGTCAGTCCATCACAGTTGTGCTAATTTATGATGTATCCATGTTCAGTATCATTATTGCAAGAAAAATGACATGCTAAACCAATAAACACTTCAACAGCCAGTCTTGTAATACCACATTATTTGTGGATAGGGAAGTTAATAATTCAGCACCTAAAGTTTGTTCAGAAATAAAAATATTACTGTAATTGTCCAACTACTGTATGCTGACCTGAAACCAAGAAACGATCATATTGGTCTTTAGCTTCAGTTGATATCACTCAAGACTTTCAAATGCTTGATTATCTTTTGGGGAAAAAAAGTTGGCTCTCCTGTTTTTTAATTTCACACTATTTTTAAGTTTACAGATTGATGTCATTAGTCTGTGTCATGCTTAACTTAACATTCATCTTCAGAATATTTTTGCTGAGTTCATTATGAAATAGATACTGTATTTTTTTAACTCTGTTATGCTAGTTGGCTAAAAAATAAAAGTGGTTTAAGTCTTATGCCAAAGTTATTGAGACATCATTGTATTTTAGATTCTAAAATCGAACAGCTATCAACACATTCTTGCAGTTTCAGGCATATGACACTGTCAAGACATTGTTTTCACTTGAAATTACCATGTCTCTTCTTCCAAGATTAGGTGCCTGGTTTTCCTCAATTTACATTCATAACTTTGCTTTTGCCTGGTTGGAACTAGGATACACAAGGTGAAATGTAGCAGGGACCTGGATTAAATCCTACAATGCAACAGTAGAATATGTCAAGCATGGAGGTGTGGTAGTTGATAACCTTAAACAGCTGATAAAAACCCTGCTGAATATGCAGGATTTTGAAATTAATTCTAAGTTACACCATTGGAAAAGACAACACTTATTGAAAATATGTTGAAAATACATGTTAATTCATATCAGTTTTATTTTCTCCAGGATTGGTGTCTAATATTAATTTTTTTTTATTTGCATAAAGTATGGGCTGACTAGAATAGAAAATATTGGGTTGTATCCCATTAAGCCTCTTCCTCACAGCCTCCATGCTCTCTCAAAATCTGTTTTGGAGGGTTCGGGGACCCTTTGGAGGGAAGAGAAGACTGTTGGACAGGAAATGTCCTGTTGCACAAATCAGAGGTTTCTCTTGCAACACTGGATTTTGCCCTTTTTCTTATCTCACTATATAAAGGACAATGTTCTGATTTAGAGCAATATTTTAGTAGCTGTTGTAAAGAGAGATTATACCACAGATACTTAAACACCTCTATGTTTGCCATCTAATTGTTAACTGGTTAACATTGCTAATGAACTGTAACATTAGATATGTTGGATTTGGCACAAAGCATGTAAAATGATGGTTACTAGGTCTAAAAATAAGAAAAAAGTTTTGGATACCAGTTGGGTGATGTCTCCTTTTTCTTCTGTAGTGTACCAGGTGTCATTTTATGTCAATGTGAGCAAATAATTATTTTGTTGGCTTTCAGATTTGTTTTTCCCCTGTCTTTTCTGTGGGTGGGGCAGGGTGGGGGAGGGGGTTAAAGCCATAGGAAGAAGAATGTGATGTAAGTGTTCAGTATGTTTTTTTGTTTCTGTTTTGCAAGAAGAGTTGAAAAAATATTTTTGATAATGAGAGTAAATGGTGGAAAATGCTCTTTAGTATTCTTGTCTTTTTTGCAGCCAACCTCTTGAATTTTGCATTTAATTTTCAGTTTAATATGTCCTATTAAAATATATCAGTTAAATATGAATATGACTTTTATGTGGACCAAATGGAACCTGCCATTATCTGTTTTCCATGTTTGAACCTTACTTGCTAAAGCAAAACGTATTATTTCAGTATCTTAAGAAGGCTAATCAAACCAGAAGTCTGGATAATTGTTCTCATACACAAGGTGCTATTTGGAAATATCCATCAAACTTTTTTTTCTTTCCAGAGATTTCTGATAGTTCAGTTATGAAGTTCTACTGTGTCATAAATATGCCTTTTCTCCAGACGGAATAATTTCAGTATTTTCCAGCTACACTAAATAGCATTCCATTAACTGGTTATTTAAGTTTTAAATGTTCCTTGGAACTGTTTATATGCTATTCTGCATCTTTGTTACTGATGGTTAATTCAAGTTTGTTTTAATGAAACAAGTTTTCTTCTATGCTGCCATAGAAGCTAAGGTAATAAATGTCAGTCTTAAGATTGAATTATGTAAAACAACATAAAATATTTAGTGCTCTGAATACTTTTTTAAAAATGTCAGCGCTTAAAATTGTTTTATTCCCTAAATGGGCATTCATAAATTTAATGAAATAATAGTACACCCTATACCATTGCTAGCAACAAAAGGCTGTCAAAAGTACTAGTTTTGAATCCCTATATTCTGGCAACTTTTCTTTGTTGTTTTGGTTATAGTAAAATGTAATTTTAGAGAAGGAAATTACACGAATGCTTTCTCTAATCTCTTCCACTGTTGCCTCTTAGTCTGATTGAATGAAAATATGTTTTATACTTTACTAGGGGAAAAAAAAGGATCTTTTTTGCAACATTTGCCCAGTCTACCTGTTGCTATAACTGCTTCATACACAATTTTCTTCCAGAGCAAATTTTTTAGTAGAAAAAATGTGTAAAGTATTGCCCAAATGTTTGTCACACAGTCATTGTTCTGAGCATTCACAGAACAGTAACAAAATTGCACTAAAATTGAAAAATAAATGTAGAAAAATAACTTTCATATTTAAGTTCCAGTAGGTAGTCATATGATGTCCAAAAATAGCTGTGAATATAGTGATCCCACAAATTCTGGATTCAGATGTCAATACATCTTTGTAAGATTCATAAACAGAGTTGCATAGAAAATTAGACAAATTACAGTGATGAACAGGCACTAGAATTTTTCTTTGCAATCCTGCTTTGTGAGCATTATTTCATTTTTCAAAAATGGAAGCAAAGTTATATAATTTTGAAGTTGGAAGTGCAGTTTGAATGGATGAATGTTTCAGTTGCATGTTCTAGTCTCCTTCACTGCAAAGGTTCTAGAATTTATGACTTTGAAACCTGGTAGTGTGCATAGGTCTCTGTCTTTGCTTCTTAGGGTGATCTTCTACTAGTATTAATGTAGTTTGGATTGTAGTCCTTACTGTTTAAATGTTGTGAAGGATGTGTATGTGGTGGGAGTAATGCATTGCTTTCTTGAAAACTCACAGCTTAGGTTCTGATGTGTTTCTTTCAAAATGCAACTTCAGTACCTCTTCAGTGATGTGGCTGAAGTCATCAAGTCATCGTTTTGGTTTTCTTTAAAGATTGCTGTGGCATTACCATTTCTACGGAAAACTGTAGATGGTGACATTAAATAAAATTTTTATTCTCTTTTCTTATAATGAATGCTGTAATGCTGAATGGTGTTACATATTTTGCCCAGAGGCATAGCTATTTAAAACTCAGCTGCAGGGCAGATCACACTTCCAACGTGTTTGACTTGTTTAAGGCAATAACAGATGGATCAGTTTGTACAATATTTTTTAGCACTCTTATTGTGCAATCATGTTCTGTAATGATTCAGCATAATTCTGTTTTACAACCCTTTAAAATTATTTCATATATTTATTAAAAATCAAACTGCAGTGCTGTTCACAAGATAAAAATTGCAAAGTGTGTGATTTTAGTATAGCAGTTACCAAAATAAATAACTGGTGCAGATGTTTAGGCAAAAACATGGAAGAGAAATAAATACTTTGTAACTTCACAGTTTTTCAAAAGGACATTGAATGGCCTTGCATCTTTTTCCAGCTGCTTTCTTTATCATTGCAGTGGTTGAGAACTCACACAGATTGGGAGGGAGGAGTTTGCAAAGTTTATTTCTTAATAATTTTTAGAACTATTGATGTTAACAGCCACATGTACTTCTTGAGATTAATAGGTCAAACTAATTGATCCAGTATCTTGGACATGAATTCTAATTCTAGTGTGAAAACCCCAAGAACTCTTGGCCAAGTGAGATGAGAAAAAACTTAGTATCAGAGTTGGAAGCAACCATTCACTCCATAACATTCAACTTCCTTCCAAGTACTGTATCTCTATCATATGGTTGTCCAGTTTTTTTCATTACATCCAGTGAATGGCAGTTAATCACCACCTTTGATAAGTGGTTCCACTGTCAACTTGCTATTACTGTTAGGAAGAACTAATATTCAATTGAAATCTGCCTTCCAGTTCTCAATCTTTTTCTGTATGAAACTTTCAAGTACTTGAAAACTGCTGTTATGTCTCAACCCAATCATATTTTTTCTAGACTAATCATACCCAGTCTCACCTTGTTAGACATAATTTCTAGTACACTCAACATTCTTGTTGCCTACACATCTTCTCTGAACCTTTTTTAAAATGTGATGGGTTGAATTGGACTTAGTGCTTGAAACAGTGTTTAACCAATGCAGAATATATTTGGAAATAATATTTTTACTGATACTATATTTCATTTTCAGCGGTATCACACTGCCAACTCATGTTCAGCTTGTGATCAACTATAATACCCAATATTCTTTTCACATGTGCTAGACCAAGGCACATACCCCATCCTATATTAATGCCATATTATTTCTTTTCCCCAATGTTCAGAATTTTGGGGAGGGGGTTTCCTATATTTTCCACTCACTTGTCTAACCTATCAAGATGATAGAAATGGGATCTGAGGCTCAAAACAAAACATGTGGTGGAATCCCTAACAGACCTTGAGAACACAGTGGAGACAGCAAGACAGTTAAGAGAGGAAACCGCTGTTACAGAAGAGATTATGGAGTTCAGGGAAAATAGATTCAAACTAACTCTTAGAATTTGGTAGGCTTTCGAGATTCTGTTACACTACCCTACTAGCAATAAAGATCTTTCCAGAAATCCAAGTGGTTCTTGTTTCCTGAGTTTGCCAGTCTTAGGAATAAACCAATCTCACAAGAGATAAATAGAATCAAACTTTACTAAGAAAGAGGATGCAAAGATTTCTTTTAAAGTAATTAACAAAATAATCAGTGGTGGAGAAAATAAAAATACAGGGATGCTCAAATCACAGCTTCTTAAAAGGACCTTCAGTACAAAAGTAGAGAAGCTTCTAAGGAAACTATACAATGATGCTGGTTCCTATTTAAAATCAACTTTGATTTAAAGAGGCTGCAAATTGCATAGTAACAATCAGTGACAGTGCTTGTAAAAAGACAATAACTCCCAGAGACAGGAAATTAGACTGAATCAAAAAAAAAAAAAAATCAAACTGCAGTTCTTAGCTAACTTCTTCCTATTCCTCTAGAGAATGAAGACCAATCTTACCTTGTGCCGATTTGTTACCTGGGAAATCCTCCATCCTGTAAATTCCAAATATATATATTTCCTCATTTATTTATTAGATTTATATCAGACATCTCAGGAGCTCTAGGTAATATATAGTACTGTGAAAAAGTTTTAGGTGTGAAAAAATGCTGTAAAGTATTTGTAAAGTAAGAGTGCTTTCAAAAATACATATTGTAATTGTTTATGTTTATCAATTTACAAAATGCAAAGTGAG